ACACAGACGATTACAGTCTATTCTTATGTTTGATAAACTTTATTCACTTTTCAATATGTATGCCTATACATAAAGTGTATTCTTTGACCAAAGTATGTTCAACATTATTTCCGGTAGGAATATTGAAATAAAATCAGCTGAAAGATATTTCTTAACGACATTTCAAAATTGTCGAGGTAACGGCTCCAACACTAATCGAGAAGTGTTTTTATTTAGAAGACCTTTGAAAACCAAGAATTACTAAAGAGCCGTTTTTCCGTGGTTTAGGCCCCCTCATCACAGTGTATCTGCAACCTCACCGAGGATCTTCGTACACAAATGTGAAGTAAATGTAGCATGAAATTGGTGTGATAGGATAGGATATCTAAATATATGTAGCACTTTCAATTATAGCTTATTTTCACCTTGACCGTTATTTTTCAATGAAACCCGATAATAAGTAGTTAATATGTGTAATTCTGTAAACTGTGGTGGACCATCACTTACACAGATCTCTAAATTTCTACGCAAAACGGAATGAATATCTTATGGCACGTCCATGTGCTTAGCAAACCTTGTAGGATAATAATTATTTGTAAGTAACACCTATTTCAGTGCCTATTTCAAAATAAAAACTGTACAGTTATTTGAAGTACGCGCCGTTGTTTGCTCCGACATCCCCGCAAAGAAGTTGGCCAGCCCATTATTATCACAAGAATTTTTTAGGAAGCTTTTAGCACTACCCGTCATTTTGAAGTCTAATGACACTTTTTAGGGGAATATAGGCTAAAAAGTAATCTTCTGAAAAGTATAGACAGTACACCCTATACAGTTTACTGATTTGCAGTGTCTTCAAAATCTTTTCTTACAGGCTGATTCAGACTTCCATCAGTAAATACCCCATTCACTCAATACTGAGAATTAACTAACCAGAAAGCATAAGCAACATGGATATCCAATAGCAAAGAGAACCAATCATTTACCAATTACCTAACAAATATATGAAACAAAGTGGAGGCAAATTAAATATATTATGAGGAAAACTTCAAGGGATCTAATACGCTAGGCGCTCGAGTACAACTTGAATAAAAAGCAACAAGTCAGACGTCCAAAGTTGACATGGGTAAGAAAGAACAAAGAGAAGGTAAAACCTTGCAATCAGGGTTAGATCTAGCTGGTGTTTGTGTGGTGACAGACCGTGTGCAGTAAAAATGTGCTTCTCAGGACCAGCATTCCACTGAAAATGGAAGAAATGACGATCAATAGGAAGCAAACTAGAAAGTCTGAACAATGTTTGACATAAAACAGAGGGAATTTAAATAATGACTGAATGAACCCATTGTCTTTTATCAAAACAACTTGACGGTACTTTCATTATCTATCCAAGTTCAATGAAGAATATCTAAACACTTAATATGATGCAAACGCGTGAAATTCAACTTCCTGATTTTCAGCACTAGTCTCAGGTCACTGCTTCTATATTCTTCAGAGACTCGACTCATCAGCAGAAGCATTTCCAACAAGCTAGTATATAGCTTGATTGACACCTACCTTCTCTCTCTGTAGTGTGCAGCAGATGTCTCGGAAGGATAAGCAGCAACGAACAGTTGAACGAACCAACCAACAACCTATCAGCCAACTGTTATGCAGATCGAAATGGAGACAGATTGGACACATTATTAGGTGAACGTTGAGTGACACTGTGTGCCAGACCGTGTTTTGAGTGGAAACAAAATTGGCGTTGGTACAAAGGTGACATAGGAGATATCGTATGAGGAATAAATTAGAGATTACTGGCAATCGTGAAGTCAGCTAGAAGTACTACAGAGGTGGAAGAAATCGGTGATTCTCTGTTAAAGCCATAAATTACAGTGAGAACCTGACAGAATATAAAGTATATACATTTATCTGAAAGTTAGATGAAATTATGTGAGGCAAAACTAATACAGTCCGGCTGGTACTAAATAAATTAAAAACTATGCAGTGATAACATCAAAATCTACACCTAGATTGCAGGAAGGGTTGGTTATACAGTGAAGGCAATTCTATTAGTGAACTATTAGTAGAAACAAGTTTAACACTATTTATAATATCTCAATAATTCGTTAGATTTAATGTTTTGTAAATAAATGTGTTAAAAGGTCACTTACTTATCATTTTTATTAGATAAATGTTGAAACTTTTTTTCAGTTTTTTATAATTGTTCCTACAATAACTACGTAACTAACACTCCAAATTTCTCTGACCCGCAAACTTTTCACACCATTTGTCATGTTAAGGTATACAAATAGCTAAAAGATAATTTCATTTTTTTCAGCTTGTTTGTTTTTGAATATTTCCTGTATGAATTGACGCATTCAATTTGTAAACGCCCATTGAATGGATGTTCTAATGCGTGATTCATGAAGTATGCCTTAGTGTCTTTCATGAAAACTCCTATGGATTGGCATTCACCTAACCCTATTTTATATAGCTTTTCAGACGGATTTTATGTATATGCACGTGTACACAAAACAAATTATCGTGAAACCTTATTGAAAAGATAACAGCTAATTTTTTTTATTTACCTTTAATATATATTCACAAGAATGACTTTATTTATTTCACTGTATTAAATATAAGATTTTACAACAGAACTTAATGCTAAATAATGTCATTTAGTGAGTGATCAGTCCTTGATTTAAAGGACCATTTCTTAGCAGCGTCATTGGCAAATATCTGTCCTTAAACCCAACCTAATGGCCCCAGCTAGTTTAGAATTTGCACTAGAACCCCGGGTATTTTCGTCCTTTAGTCAGTCATCAGTGAATTCCATCCCAGCATCTGAATGGTTATCGAGCTCTGATAGAAACCTGAAGGTCCTAGGTTCACTGTCTGGTGATGTCATGGATGCATACCACTGATAAGTCCGACAATAGGAAAAAAAGAAGCCCAGTACTCACCCAGCCCCAATTTTCAGTGGTTCCTTAAGTGATTTCAATCAGTCGTTTAACTTAAAACCAATCGAATCCCAGCAAAGCAATAGTTGGGTTTTATCCACTTTGGATATCGATTTCATTTGAAAGAATGCTTATATCAGGAGCAAGGAGAGGAAACATCGTAGAAGGTTTTGCATGTATGCGTCAGAGTTTCAGCCAATAACCAACAATCTTCATTATATAACAAGATCAGATGGTAGCATAAAGAGAAAACGTACATAGAGGGAGCAATGCGCACATCTCCACAGCGTCCTCCAAAAAAGACTAAGCTATAGAGTGAGAGATGCGTTATTGAGAATGAAGTAACAATCGCGAAAAATAATGCGATTCAAAATAGTTCTTTTGAGACTTTCACAAAAATACTTATAGCTAAGAAAGTCTACAAAAGATATGTTGCCCTTGAGAATGAGGAGCCATTCTATATAGGGTTACAATTTAGAGGTGATGTACCAGGTAAATTAGTAATTGTCGAGCTCAGAAAATTGGAAAGAAGAGAACACGAAGTTCAGTAAAGATATCTTTTCGGCGATTACACTCTCAAAAGCTGTACAATCGGATTTATATAGATTAATTTACATGGATACAATTATTATTTGTCTGATTCCACGTAGTAACGAAGGTGATATTAAGAAAATTGACTTTCAGAACATTCAGGGCTGATAAATCACAGCTGTAATTTCTTTTACACCCCTCGCTATAATGCGAAATCTGAAATCTGAGGCGTTTAGGTTCTCTACCTTTTTCTGTGTTATTGATACACTGAAGCCATTTACATATTTCTTTCGTCAAGGAACTTGATTTACTCTCTTGGGTACACCTACCAATGTGGTAAATTAAATTTCTGATAAAAAGCATTACCGATTACCACGCTTGATTCAAACGTACCACCAAGAACCTACCGAAGAATTCTTCTCTATTGCCTTTGAAGAATTAATAAACTTCAAATAAGTATCAAGCATCAAATGTTCCAACCGATGGAAGCCACAGCAATTCTCTTGAAACGATCAGAAACAAATCCAAAAATTACTGTTCCCACTGTCATGCTTTGGAATCCACAAATTTGTGCCATACCTTTTAAATGTAAACTTTTATATTATTTGTGCACACTCCTTTTCACTATTTATTAGCCTTCAATAAAACCTATGCTTTACCAATAAACCTTTCATTTGTTTATTGCACCCTATATTACTCACCCATTCACAGACGTACATGTGTAACAGTCTTCCACATTCTCTCCCTCTGCTATGCTATTGTTAGTCATACCCCTTTTCATCTGTTTGATGAATTACCTCAGACACTAAGAGGACTTAAATACTTTTCGAATAAATTTAAAAAATACTTCGCAAGTCACTATTAAGTTATTTAAAAAGGAATATGGGTAAAATGTTGAAGATTAACTCAAGGTCCTGGGTACCGATTGAGTCTGTGAAGTGAAATGTTATTAGGCAGATACATTCAGGATCACGCATATACTAGTCACATGTTACGGAGCCCCGTTGGCTGTAAGTTTATTAGCTAGATTACTGACCTTTGGCTATACTGCAAAATATGATGATAAGAGTGATTACAAAGCTTCCTCAAAATAAAATTACTTATTTAACCTATGTTCAAGTTAATTTCATATTTTCCGTTGACTGATAATATCAGACGAAAGATTTTCGGTGTACGTTGGCATATCGACCTCCATTAGTGACGCTTCGACAATATCTGAGGATTAACATCATGTTATTTGATGGATGGTGGCTAGCAGTGTAAACCAGTTGGCTGTTGAGGCCCAAGTGGTCTAGTGGATAATGTTTTGTTATTTGAAGGAATCGGTGTTAGTTTCCAGCCTTAGTATAAGTGTATTCCAGCTACGTCAGATGACGCGTCCCGGGTGCGACGAAGATGCATCCTGGCTTCCACTGCTAGTAAATATCAACCAAAATAGCTTTCAAAATATTTTTAGTTCATTAATCAATATTCTGAAACCTTTTTGAATTGAGATTTTTCTATGTAACTAACTACCTGACCACACGCTCTGTTTATTTTCATTTTTTCTAGTTATGCAAATTTCTACAGTGAAAATGGTACAAACTATCGAGATTTGATTAAAGCTTATGGTATACGATTTGTTATCCATGTAAGCGGAGAGGCAGGAAAATTTCATTTCCTCCCGTTAACAATGAATATTGGCTCAGGTTTGGCTTTGTTGGGTCTGGTAAGTAGTGCCAAGTTTTTTTGTGGCATCTAAATACTGTCTAAACTCGTTTAGAATTTACTGGCTATTTCAAATTGCGAGTATTCCATGTTGTCTCAATTAAATTAACATTTCAGTTTTGAATTTTGCCTTCTATCGTGTTAAGTTACTTCTCAAAACAATCTCTTCAACCCTTGTGTTGTGTGCTATGGTCTATCTTTTACAAAGCTGTTTTGCATAATTAAAATTTTTCTATGTTTCTGCAACTTTAATCTATCTATATGAGATCAGTATAACTACCTACAGTTTTATAAAGTTAATGGATTCGATAATACCTCCTGCCTGAAAAGCTTTTCCTCTGGACTTTGTGGAAAGTAGAACTGTCACATACGTAATGCATCTCGGACTAAAAATCTTAAAACACAGAATTTTAAATGAGTATTTTTGAGAATAAATGTGTTCATCTCATTACCTGATCAACCTGAGTTCAATCCTAAATGAAACTCAATATAATTCGCGGTTTCTAGTAAACACATTTCGGGTTGAAATTCCATCACAGTTACCTTCAAAAAATGAAATAATTTGCATCATCTATAATGCCGTAAATGGTAATCAAGAAAGCAAACATAGGTGTCTCACGCTATATACTATCGATTCACTGAGACGAGTAATCGGATAGTACTCACATCAATCATTAGTGCTTTCTGGACAGTTCGAAATAATCTAAACACCAGACGTCCAGTTCATTCGTTTTGAGGTTGAGCTTATCAGTGATGAACCTAGTTTGACGTAGCTCAAATTATTATTATTGTTCCCTTGAGTTCCTAGTGGAGTATAGGGCTTCAAATGCACGTCTCCACTTGCTTCTGTCTTCCTTCTGCTTTATTTTCATCTACATCCATGTCAGTCCACACGCTTTCAACTCCTCTCCTTCATGTCACCCTTGCACTGTCCCTTTTGGGTTCCACTAAATGACCTGACGCGCGACGTCACCCAGCGGCCTCCTCAGCGAGCGAGTGTCCAATCCATCTCCACTTTCTCCTGCATATTTGTTGGTTGGCGATTGGTTCTCGTTTTGTTTGTTTGTTCCCATAGTTTCTTGTTGATGATTCTCTCCGGCCCGGCCATCTGATCTTCAGTATAGATCCAGCGAAGACAGTCGTCGATAAAGGTCTGAAACAGGCTGCTGGAAATATTCTTTGTCGCCCGCCCGCTCGCCAAGTTTCTGATCCGTATAGAAGAACTGACTGACTTGACGTTTGTATTGAAAATCCGACTGAATTTTGTTGTTGATGCTAGGTGACGAAGATTTCCAGATTGGTTTCAGGTTGATGTGTTTCTCTCCTTCCCGATTCTCGCTCGATTTGACATCCTCCTCTTTCAAATCCCTCATGTTTATGGTGATGGGTGCTGGATGTTGCTGCTGTTGTTGTTTTTGGTTGGTTATTTTCATAACCTCCATCTTGTCTATGTTCACATTAAGTCCTATGTTCTCAAGCTGCTTCTTCGACCAATTTGTCGGTTTTTGCTTGTAAGTCTTCGATTTTGTGTGACGTAGCTCAAAGAGCCACCAGTATTCTGGGAAGCTAATTAGGCGTACAGGTAACATCATAATTGAAATTCTCGACTTGCAATCAACAAATTTCCAGGCGAAATTTCACTATAGTTCATTTGAAAACTGGAATTATTCAGACCCCAGTATATGGTTTGTTTGATACTGAAAATGATGAGATTGTTAGAGGTGTACTGCTAAAAGAGCTTCAACGTAGAAGAGTCTATCTTTCCAGTGTCCTTTCGTCCTCATTAGCTACAATATACATCATTTCATTAAATTTTTTTGTCTTTCTTTTCAGGCGCCAACAGTATGTGACATTATCGCTTTAAATTTATTACGATCAAGAGATATTTATCAACGAGCGAAATTTGAAACTATCGCTGAAGAACAAGAACACTTGTCTAATCGACGAGCAAGTAAAGCTCAACGTAAAAAACATACAACATCAACACCACCAGCAGTCAAATCAAATAGTGTTAGTAGAAATGAACTATCCGATGAAAATGGTAAAGTTGTTCAATGGAAAGATGATGTAAATTTCAATGAAAACGACACACAAACTGTGCATACATCATAATTGTCAAACAAAAAGAAAGGATTATATATCATGTATTTTGACATGGAGTTGATTGAAACGAAGAGAAAAAGTGCTGAGGAGGGGAGGGCGGCTGAGACAAACCTTATAGAATGATTAATAAACTACTTCCTTTCTATATATATATATATAAATAATCACATGAATTGCTAAGGTTATAATCATTTTCAACATAAGCAAGTATGCATCAAAGGTGTATTGAGATATGCAAAATTCTTTAATCTACTCACTAAACTATAACATTCTGTGTTGTATTTCTTTTTCTTATATTTTTTCGACACGACTGTCATAATTTCAGAGGAATTAAACAAGTATACCAGTATTAAGCTCACTTTCTTTAATCTTTTAATCATTAAAGCCTCTATTTCTAGGATTACACTAAAGAACTCTACAATTTATGTTGTTGTGAGTCACTTCTATACACACCATGGTTATCTGTATGTCATCAACATGACTCAGACGTATAATTATCTTCTATATCAACGTCTAGTGATTATCTATTCTAGTATCATTCCTGACTGAATGTATATCTTAAAAACTACATCTACTATGAGATCTTCTTATTCAGCATTGTCTTATGAATTTCTCCAACTCTGAAATCTCTTTTGAAAACAATCAGTCTGCTAAAAGAAAAAAAAGCGGGAAAAACTTGTCCATTTTTTCAGACTTGATTCAATTGCAAAGAAATTGATTACTGCGTCAAATTAAAAAAAAACTCTGAAAACTATACCAATCTATTCGTTTTGTTTGTAAAAATGTGTTTATTGATGTTCATTCATATTTCTACAGTGGGGGTAGTGTGATAGACGGGGATTTCTTTTTTAAAGCAATCTATGATTCATTCTGTTTTTGTTAATGAGAATTATATTCAATTATTTTATTGTCTTTTAAAGTAGAATAGATTGTTGCATCCTATACGGTGGAAGTTTTCAATTTGTCTCCTTTAATGTCTTCAACTTTATTCTCTTCTGATATCATGATTTCAATCTCGATATGTGCGTTTATTGCATAATCATGTGTGTTTTATATATGCTAATTTCTGATTGTAGTCTACAGATGCTTTTTTTCTCTGTTTTTGTTAAATATATATAAATACACTCACTTTCATCTATCTTGATGTTGTCAATGCAATGAACAACTGCATAACTTTGAAGAATCGATAGGTGTTTAAATAATGCTGACTTATGAGTTCAGTATTAAATCGCAGCATGAATTGTTATTATTTTTGTTATGTCCTTTAATTCCTAGAGGAAAATAGGGGTTCAGCTGCGCGTCTTTAATGCCTTCGGTCCTCTGCCAACTTTTTCACCCCGCTCCAGGTCTGCTCACACGCTTTCATCTATTCTTCACTTGACCTCCTCCAAGTCACCCTTGCATTGACAACCAACTCGTCGCTTCCCCTTCGGATACTACTTAAGGACTTCTCTAGTGATGTCACTTGATGATTTCCTCAGCATATGGCCAATCCATCTCCATTTCTTCCTGCCTATTTGTGACACAATCGGCTCCTGGTTGGTTCGCTCATTGCCAGAGATCCCTGTTGCTGATCTTTTCTGACCGGACATCTGATCTTGAGTAGTACTGAGCGAAGACAACTTTTATTGAAGGTCTGAAGTTGTTTGAGATGCTCTTTATGACGCGCTGGCCAAGTCTCTGATCCGTGTAGTAAGTAGCACTGACTTCAGATTGGAGTTGAAAATCCGCATCTTATTTCCATTTTCATGCTGAGTGCTGTTGACCTCCACACAGACTTAAGAGTAATGAAAACTTGTCTTGCTTTCCTGATCCTCGCTTTGATATCCTCGTCAGTTCCGCCTGTGGTTGAAACGATGCTTCTCAGGTAGGTAGGATAAAGGAAGTTGTTTGTTTCAGGTTCCTCCCATATATGCTGGCTGATTGTTGTCTGTTGTTGTTGTTGCTGTTTCTGTTGGCTAAAAATCTTCATCACCCCTGTTTTATCTATGTTCACTTGAAGTCCTATCTTTTCTGGATGCTTCTTGTATTGCCAATTTGTTGCTTTTCACTTGCATATCTTCCAGTCTGGGAAAATCAGACATATATCATCGTCGAAGTCCAGGTCCTCCAAGTCTTTTGTGTGAGTCCATTTTATGCCTGTTTCCTCATTACCTGTTGTCTGTCGCATTATCCAATCTACTGCAATCAGGAAGATCATTGGCGATAGTAGACAGCCAGCTTGCCTCACTCCCGTCCTCACTTCGAAGGATTCCGTAAGTTTCCCGCTGTGGATTACTTGGCATGAAGCATTGTCGTATAACTGTTGGATGAGATGTATAATTGTCGATGGCACCTCATACTAGCGAAGTAGTTGCCGAATCACCTCTCGATCGACAATGTCTGTCGAAGGCCTTTTCAAAGTCGATGAAGTTGAGTGAGGTGGAGAGGTGACTGCCATTCCAAGCTTTGTTCAGTGATGATACGTAGAGTGGCAATTTGATCAATACATGACTTGTTTCTCCTGAATCCAGCTCGTTCCGGTCGAAGTTTTTCATCCAGGTTAGCGTGTTTGATTCTCTGCAGGATGATGCGGCTTAGTACTTTGCCTCTGATGGACAGGAGCATAATTCCGCGCCAGTTTTTGCATCGACTTAAGTCTCCATTCTTCGGCAGTTTGAATAAGTATCCTTTATTCTAATCCTTGGGTACTTTGCTGTCTTTCCACACCTCCTCCTGCAGCGGCGTCATCAACTCCGCTGTTGTCTCTGGGTCCATTTTCTAAGCTTCTGCTGGGATTCCATCTGGTCCTGCTGCTCTTCCAGCTTTTAGCATCTTGGTTGCATTCAGGACTTCTGATTTCGTCGGGGTGTCGATGTTCACTGGTAGTTCTGCTTCCCTTGTTGGTATTGTTGGGGGCGTTGTAGGTGGCAGTCGATTTAGAAGTCTTTTGTAATGTTCAGCCCAGTGTTAAGATTGTTTTGTTAAGCAGTACATTTAAAACCCAATGAATTTGTACAAAACACCGCCTCATTAAAGTGCTTAACTTCAACCCTGAGCATGATATAAGTTAATGTTTATAAAACATTGAGATATGCACTCGGTTTCAAATTCACAAAATCTGAGTCTCATATATTATTATTGTAATTTTTTCAGTCCTTTGTCTACCAAGTGTAGCATAGGGCTTCAAAGTTTAAACTTTGAAGTTTCAGTGGCACTGGTGTTAATTTTTAGGGGGTGAGGTTTTTAGCGTCACACTCCAAACGTTCTTCTTTACCAAGCTGACTACTGGTTAGGCGAGGTTCAGGAGTGAGTTGGCCAGAATTTGAACCTTGACCATGTGCGCGGTCAAAGGGCATTCTGCCAGTGAATAACCGAAGGAGCTCATATATTCTCGGTTCTACTTCCTTCTTATTACAGATATCTGGTAGTTACATGAAAACCTACTACTGAAGTGAAAACAACACACTAGAACTGTCTGTCTTCCACATAAATAGTAATATTGAACTAATTTATTAAAAGAGTTGGTCGAAGGTCACCCTAGTTTATCTCCAAAACACTGGGAGTATTACTGGTCATCTCCACCCAGTGTTCTGTCTTACGTGCCTGATCACCATTCTAGCTTATCTCTTTGCTCTGCACAATTTTCTATACATTGGTTCTTAATAGATGAGACTTCCAACACAGCAAAATTTACCTAGATTATTAAAGTCGATTGAGACGGAAAGCTAAAATTTTAGGGGAAAAAATTCTAACACTATATACTATCCATTGATTAAAATGAGTGTATGGATACAACTGACATCAGCTAGTGTTGCTAACTAGCCAGTTCGAGGTGATCTAATCAGCTGACGGCTATTTTACTAGTTTAGGACTGAGTCCATCAGATTAGTAACCAGAAGTTGGATAGCTTCAACTGATTACATTCTCGGAGTTTAATAAAAGCGGCTACACTGCTGATCAACTCAATCCCAAAAAAGCAATTAGGCCGTCGTAAGGTGTCCAATTCACTTCAATCATTTAATTAAATTATAGATTTTCCTGTCGATTGATTGAACCGAAGTGCTCGGTCTCAGGATGATATGTCGGCTTTTTGTGTAGATATTTAGACAGTGTCTGGGTATGTAATTATAATTTAATTGGTAGATGGTGACTAGCAGTGGAATCCAGGATGCCCATTTCGTCCCGTTTTGGGACCATGATGATGTTTCTACCCAGGCTCGAACCTACTGCCCATAATGCACCCAGCTGTCGAGTCCCAATTGTGAAGAAATGTGCATCCTGGATTCTACTGCTAGTCACCATCCATCAATTAAATCCTAATTACACTACAATCAGCCTAGCCACCCAGCACTACTGTTTGATATAAGTAGTATGGAACTGCTCATCACAGTCAATCAGTAGTAGATAGCGTCATGTATCTATGCTTACTTTCTTAATCGTAGGTCTCATGTTCTTTTCAGTTTTCAGTCTTGAAAAGGAGCTGTGGTGATATTTCACCTCCTGAAACTATGAAAACTCCAAATTGTGAATTTGAAGAGAATTCTCTTTCTTATTAACTTAATTTCGAAACAACACTCTTAATCTTGTGAACAAGAGTACCTTTGCTTAAAAAAACTGTAACTTCTAAAGTAAAGATTTGAGAATTATTTCGGTGTGATTTTTTTCACCACTTCAGTATTATACTCCATAAAACATTTTGATTTTATTGACCACCATGATATTTTATACTGTCTAAATGTCAACTGGTTTCTTACCAGATCTTTCGAAGTGATGGGAATGTCTTCCTCTATCTCTGGCAATATATTTAGACTTTCTTTATACGGAAACTAACGTCACAAACAAACATGCAAAAAAATAAAACTGTTATTTGTCATACCTTCCGGTCATCAGACAGTCATTTTCTTTGAGAATCAAGTTGACAACGTTGACAACTGAAACAAATCAAAATTACATTGTAAAGTCTGAAAGCGTTTCAACCATTC